TCTAGATACATTCAAAAATAAATATAACTGTATCTCACAGTATCTTAATAAAACATTTTTTCACATAACACCAGCAAAATAAAGATATTTATTAACCTTAAAATGTATTTTGTTGACTCTGTTTTCCCAGCCCCACTTTCACCTTGAAATGAATTGCTACAGTTAATGGAAAAATTCGAATTGCAGAATGTATACAGTACAACATGAATAGGCCTTTCCCGGCTCGCATTTAACTGTCACATGGTACMTATAACTGGCCAAAACATATGTTAAACAGCCACAAATACACAAAGAACCTCAAGCTTGGCTTTACTTTATTTTGAACATCCCAGTGGGAATTTTGCCCTCCAGTATGCCGACTTAGTACCATGATTTAGTACTATGTGACCATGTACCATGGAAAAGGCCTATACAACAATCAAGTGCTAGACTACTATGATATCTTTGTGTCTCCTTCACAACACACAAGCTTCTATCAAAAGAAAAAAAAACACTTACCACTAACAACAATGGACTGACTTTGTTTGTATGCCCTCATATCTCGATAAGCTTTGTCAGCTGTAAAACATAGATAATCAATAATGATTATGAGTGTGAGCAGGCACAACATAGTGATGAGATGCTCAGGTTTATGTTGTTTGTGCTTCTGCTTCTGTTTGTGCTTCTGTTTCTGTTTGTACTACTGTTCTGTTAATGTTATAGTGTAAACCAGCCCAAATAAGGTTCTAATGGTGCTCAAATTCTCTGTAGAGTGTCATCACTGGCTGGATGAAGTAAGAGTTATATGTAAGGAAGGAGTTGTCGTAGTTACCTATTGCAAAGACATGAGGAGGCATGGTACCCAGTGATTTGCCGTGGTATTTATGAATGGTTTCTTTAGAGTACAAGTCTCGTACATCATGRTATGGGTTGACGGCTAGAAGAATATTGGCTACATAGGTCTACAAGAATAAGTTTAATATATAATGTTAATTGACTGTATTAATGTTAAATTGTCATTTGTACTGTTTAGGTGTTCTATTTGGTCAACAAGCAATGCAGCTTTAGTTGCTACAATCAACCAATGAAACACTTTTTTAAMTGTAATACTCCCTGTTGCAAATTTGCTTTTTGCATCTTTTCGGAKACAGTTCAGAATTTTGAGCATTTCCACTGATCAAATACAGGCCTTGACCCCAAGGACCATGTTAAAAATGTTTCAGGGGGTGTAACATTTGTTRAAATTTGACAGGGGGTGTTGTCATTGCTCATGTTTACACTGAATTAGGGTGTGCCTGTTTCTTAGAAAACCTGGGTAAATTAAGGTAATTGTGCCTTAGGGGGTGTCTGAACGACTTGATGAATGGCCACCCCCTATATCCACTTTGTAGCAATCTGTTTCCCTTAGAAAATTATCACCTCCCTAAGAACAGGATATCTAATTAACTTACATATATTTTATCTTTTTTGTATCGTATTCTTAAATTATTGAGTAGAGTGCCTTCATTTAAAAACATCAGGGCACCTGTAGATCAAAAAGAAATATATTTGTGTTCATTACATAAAATATATTCAATATAGTCCACATGTTATATTCTTTTAGTCATGCTTCATAAAATTTAAGACTCTGATAGAGCTTTGCTCTATGATCAAGCTGTAGAAATATGTAACAACAATTGCAGTACAAATTGATATCATATAAGTTAAAGCATTTAGGATGATGTACATAAAATCATACATCATACATCTAGTTGTRCTGAATTTTTAAATTAGCATTAACAATCATGTTATCAAACAATCAGAGATCTATAAATTGATGCTAGAAAAGGTTAGCAGAGTTTAACAAAATGTTATATAGGACAACAAATTGAGGAAAATACTGGAAWTTAAGGGGCCTGCAAATAGAAAAATCTTTGAATGTTGTCAAGGTGTGTTTTGACTATATATAGTATTAATCCCAAGTGGGGTGCTGGCTTGAATTCATAAGACATACGCTATTAACCAAGAACAATTGCATGACTCGTAAACTTTGAAGTTTTGAATTCAATAATTGCCATTGTTGGCTTATTGTGATATATGGACTTAGATATTGTCTGGCTGAAACAAGAGTTTTGTGAAAATGACACGCAAATATTCTTGCTAAATAAAACCTTTATAAATCATATACTTTATTTATTCAAACAACATTGGACATTTGTGTGCAGATAAATAAAATAGCATAAATTAGATGGTAATGAATTCGGTAATTTATGAAGCTAGCAAACCCGCGATATGTCAAAAGGATTTAAGCTTTAAAGATTTAAGTGTCTGAACTTCTTTCGAAAACACTCCGCGCGATGTTAAACTATTCAATTATTCATTCAACCAGTTCCATATGACAAATAAAATACGTCAYCGCTTCTGCATAATAATTTACTAAATTCAAATATTGTCTTTTTAGAGTATAGTATGTATTCAAAGGTAAGCTTACCTCTCATTTAAAACATCTGACATTATTAATAAATGTATGCGCGCGAAACTTCAAGAAATGTTTTCAAAACTTTACATCAGATCACATTTCCATTGTTTTGCGATCCAAATTGGGATATTTTGATCGGGAAAGTTCGCGAACACTGAGGAATATCTTATATAATCTAATATATAACTGATATGGAAATATTTATTTAGATTTTATGGGTGGAGAGAGGGCTTGAGAGTAACGGTGGAATTTAAAATTTAGTAAGCATAAGTCATAGGAGGAAATTAAATTTGAACGAAGCTACTTCAACGAGCTAAACTTGTACAAACTTACAATTATCTTCCACATCTTTGTTCTGATCTCTCTCGGCCGGAAAAATCCGGTTATACGGCGCAGGCTTGGACTAAAGAATAAAAATAAATAGTTAAAAAGCTGATTATATGATACAGGATTTTGTTTTTGCAAGAAATTGACGCGTTTCTAGCGATCGTAGTGCCGCTCACCTTTCCTTTCTGGCAATCAAGCTCCACAGAAACTGTGTCACTTCCGATATCTACAATTGTTCCTAGAAGAAAACCATGTTCGTTGTCCGGTATCCATACTTTGCCACCAAAATCCATGGCTAAACCAGCTTTCGACAGCTAGAAATTAGAAAGATATCGTCAAGCTGTAGTTAGAAGTTTTGCCGGCTGCCTAACGTCACGTGACCAACATATGACGTCATTTCGTCAATGGTGCGTTCAGAATTCAGGATGCGCAGGTGTATGGCGGTCGGAAGGTCAGGACTTCTCAGACAATCTACAGCCACAGAACTTGGCTAACAAATGAAGAATTTAAAGGAATTTAGGAGGAGTTTTGTCTGCATTTCCGTACGGTCAGCCATTAAGGTCTTCAATTCTCTATAGATTTTAAACCATAGACAATTCAGAGGGACTGTTTTTCCGTGCAACTTCAAAATTGAAAAATGTTGAAAGAGTAGAATAGAATTAAATAAACAAGAATGGAAGAACAATTGTTTATGCATGTATTTATTTGTATACAACGCTAGTTTTTGCATATCAAAGATAAAGAAATTTTCGTCTCTTGCAAGACTTTTGAGCACGCAAGGGTCCAAAAAATGAACCCCGTGGAACACCATAACATAGCCGCTTCGGGCTTATTGTTGGCAATTTCAATTTATTGCATTTGCTATTAATACACAATTTTAGTACACAATTTTCAACCCTAATAAGTTATAAATAAATATGAAACAAATAAAAATAAWTCAATAAATAGAGAGACKTATGCTTGTCAATAAATATGTCATTTGAGTTATTRTATGAGTATAAAAATTCTTTTTACGAATGTATGATCAGTATACTGTTCAAGAAACATTAACAACAATATGGCCGGTTGTAGGAATAACTGGTCGTCAAAGTGAGTAATCCAAAAAACCGCGTTAGTGGGTTCGGTCGTAATGGTCCAAAAAATGAACCCCGTGGAACACCATAACAGAGCCGCTTCGGGTTTATTGTTGGCAATTTTCAACCCTTATATAAATAAATATGAAACAAATAAAAATAATTCAATAAATAGAGAGACTTATGCTTGTCAAAAAATATGTCATTTGAGTTATTGTATGAGTATAAAAATTCTTTTTACGAATGTATGATCAGTACTGTTCAAGAAACATTAACAACAATATGGCCGGTTGTAAGAATAACTGGTCGTCAAAGTGAGTTATATAATCCAAAAAACCGCGTCTTTGGGTTCGGTCGTTATAAAAATTTAACAAAGTGAAAATACCGACTGAGRTTCTCTGTCATTTATCTCCTAAATATATCTCTTGTTTACTAGTTTTCAACATAAGTAACTCTTCTTCTGTCATTTCCTCCTGGGGAAGATTCTCCGTTGGAGGTCTTTTGTAGCACTTCCATGAAAGATAGAAAAAGATGGCTTCCAGACCTATAAAATAAAATAAAGTGAAAATATATCACAACACCTTTTTTAAAAAAATGGGAAGGAAAACATAGTAGTCTACTTTGAACGATTACACTAGTGAGTACGATACAACAAGTTAAAAAAAAACAGTATTTACGTTTGTTGCTAATCCTGAATCCAAGTCAACTTGTTTTGCTTTTTTTTCGCTAATATTTTTGCTTCATATAAACTGAAATTTCGCTCTCCTCATGATTCATTTCCACATACGAACTAGAGCAGATTTATTTTGTTTTATACACATACAGCATTACATCAAAAATGACAAGGGGTTGCGGTGTTAGGGAGCTGTYCGGTGTATCCACCGCAGATAACCATTCTAAACTCACCGATAGCTGACACTGAAATAACTTGTAACCATATGTCCAAAGCGYGTCCATCGTAATACAAACAACTGCCCTTAGTACCACAACTGTCTTCCCACAAAATACACTTCGTATCAAAGTATGATCCAAATACTAATGGCGCAGGTAGGAAGGCAAACATTTTCAGAATAGTAACCTGGAATCCCATGGCGTACGCACGTTGGTTCTCTGAAACGCACCTTGGGGAAACAAAAACATTCTTACATTTGCATTTAACACTCATACTGTTTATACAAAAATATATAATGCGGTTCAAAGTAAGTTGTAAATCAGAAAAAAGCGGAAGGTCGCTCGATGGCTTGATACTCAGGTTAGACTGGGAGTGCCCCAGTACTCTGATATAACTTGACCATGGTAAAAGATAGCCTTGTCTTCAGGTCTCCTTTGGAGTATTCGCCATTTTCATTATGACGTCATGCTTGAGAAAATAGTAGTAGTCTGGGAACAAGGCCAGGTGGGAGAGATATTAATGAGATATATAGAGAATATTACATGGGCGCGCGGAGATACAGATTTTATCTTCGAGTGTTGAAAAGATCTCTCAAGAGTGAGCGTGTAATATTCTGTTTATCATATAATTACATATGAAAGCAAACTATGTCGTAAAAAAACATTTTCTTGCTTACCACTATATAAAGAAACCTCGAATGTGTTATTTTCACTAGTGAAATTATCAACTTTTCGAAATGGAGAAATATAGGTATTTCCGATAGATAATTATATCGTCTTATTATTAAGAAATATAAAACGACGCGCGTGTCTCTGTCCTCTGATATAAACACGGTGGGAGTTCGAAAAACACGAGAGAAGCAAGCTTAGGAACACGAGCGTAGCGATTTTTCCAGCGAAAAGAAAATTTTGCCGGAAAGCCGTCTCTGTCCTCTGATATAAACACGGTCGTCAGCCAATCAGAGCGCGCGTTATATATCAAAAATTTTATAAATGTCTATACCACCTGACCTTGTCCTTGTGTCCCTGGCCTTGTGCTAAACGGAATGTCGCTATTTTGTAAAGCAGTGTACAACTTACCGGATTAACACAGTCCTAACAGCAGTAATCCCCATTCCAAAACAAAGAAGTCCAATGCATAAAGCGATCATAAAAAGATAAAAGTTCTTACATTCCCTATCACAGAACCCTTCTACGGCTTGAGCAGGACCACTATAGGGGRCATTGATACATTGGCAATTTCTAAACCCCTATAAAGACAAGAAAATGACTATGAGGTACTAATCAATGAAGGGATAGAATTTTCTTGTCACCTTTTCTTAGCMATGTGGGATGCGCAATGCTATGCACAAAACATCAATGTGAGCATGCGCAAAGAGCGATTTGTTATCATTATATCAAGGAAATATTATCAGAGCCTGTGGAAAGCGATACTGCATGTGTTTCTAACATGCGCACATCCTAACCTTTGATCCAACTCTTTGAGTGCAGCCTGCATGACACGGACCATAATACGTAATGCCATCTGAACCACAAACTGGATTATAATTCAGTGAGCTACAGCTACAATTATCATTACATGATGAGAGTATACCTAAGTGTGCATTGGACCTGTAAAATAAAATGAACGAATGAGAATCACATGAAAACGTTTTTCCTCAGTTTCCTCCCACGTTCAAATTTCAAATGAAAAGTAGGAAGAGAAAGAAAGAGAAAAAAATGGTAAAAGAAGAATAGGAAGAGGACGTATGAGAGGGAGAACAAGACCAAGAGCATGAGGATATCGAAGTCGGAGGATAAGGATGCAGAGAAAAAGAAAAATGAAAAGCTGAGAAGTTTAAAGAAAGAACGAGAAGGAAAAGAAGAGGAAAAGTAAGAATT